CTTACCAGGCTGGACTGACTTCATCCCTCACATCTTTCTTTTAGGGTCTTTAATAATTATGGGGACAAAGATTCACATAACTTTGTATCACTTTGTAATTGTCTTGAAATTAATCTAACATTAGCCCATCAACTTCTCTCCATGTACAGCAGCCGTTTAGTACCATCACTAAAATTATATTATTTTTTGCTGTTGTAATATCATTTCTGATTTTTTTTATTGCTAGTGGGGTAGGACCAAGTCCCTTGTAAGGGATGCGCCATAGCTCAAGCAGTTAGTCGCTGGCTTCCCACCGCGGTGGCCCAGGTTCGATCCCAGGTCTGGTCAAGTAGGATTTGTGGTAGACAATNATAGGTGAGGGTGATTGTGGAGCAATTGGTGGAATGAAGATAGGCACGGGAAACCGAGGTACTCAGAGAAAACCTGCCCCAGCACCACTTTGTCCACCACAAATCCCACTTGACCAGACCTGGCATCGAATCTCTGAAATTACTAGTAATGGTACATAGACCAGCACTTACAGCAGGCTTCTAAAGAACTTTCAGCCACATTCATATTACAGATTTGTCACTCAGAATAGACATACATACTGGTCTCATAATCATATTTAACCTCACACTTATAAGAAGCACAAGAAACCTAAAACACATGCTTTTTCTCTTGATGTAGCTAAAGGATAGAAAAGATTACCATATCTTGAGGTTTTACCAAAAACAAATGTAACATTTTATACTTCACTGAATGAATAAAAATATTAATTGCCTTTTCTATATATAAATTGGTAACTTTATTAAGATTTTGATGAAAGTTTGTAGTTATTAACATTCTCATTAATGTTCAAAATTGTACATACGTGCAGCATATATACTAGCATCTTCCCCACCCTCTGGTTCACCCCGACCTTCAGCCTCCACTTCAGATCGGGCTGTATCATCTGATCTGGCAACACTGCCTGTGTCATCTGTATCCACTTCTGTCAGCCGTTCTGAGTCTGATGCCAGGACATCTGTGCTCCATGCCTCTGAAGCTGTCTCTGACACATCCAGCAACTAAGAATATAAAAACAATAATTTGTATCAAACACTAAACTGTTTGGTGTTGTATGGCCATGTTTTATGTTTAAAATATAAACACACTGATTTACTTGTAGCATAATGATTGTAGAACCCAACGATGTTACACATCTTATGTCCTTACTGTTGCCATGAATATCAGCAAAAGTCTTTGTCCCTTTACAACTTGCCAACATCACCCACATACAAGACAAAATAATAATATGTGGCAAGTTCTAATATTTTGGAACAATACTAATGAATTAAAATTTTATTTATAAACATGTAAGAGCAACTTACATTAGTGGAATCTTTTGTGTTATTCATTCCATAATTTTTAATTTTGAAACCTTAGAGATTAAAATATGCAAGGGCATAACTTTGGTCCTTTTTTATATAAATATATCACTTAGTCTCTTACCTTAAAGAAATGCTATTACTAAGGTGATCAAATCAAGGATGATGAGATGGGTGGCATATGTAGCAAACATGGTGGAGATGAAAAATGCATGTGAAACTTTAGCTGGAAAACCGAAATGAAAGGGGCCACTTGGGAGACCCAGGCATTGATGGAAGGATAATACTGTGGACATTAGGCCTCACACGAGAATAAGGGACCAGAGAAAGAGCCATTCCTAGGCAACAGCTCTGTAAACACGCAACACTACCAGAGCCATCACTAAGCAATGTGTGCATGCAAAAATGGAGAACTGTTGGAATTGGTGTTTTCTGTGTGGTCCATGCTGAGGAGACAAAAGGAGATGATTGTGCACTATGAGTTCTCCGCATGAAGGCAGGATCAAATACCTCCACTGTAGCCCTGCGAGTTGTAGGTGGTGATGAAAAGGGAATCCAGTGCCTGGGGGTATATCTGGGTCACCCTGTTCCTGGAGGATATATTTACAGGGACACGGCCCTCCAGGTTGCAGGAGTCTTGAATCTGAGACACTGAAATATGGTCATGAGTCCCATTGCATTTGGGCATAGGAAGGATTGTGCTGGTGAGGGCCACTGGCAACTGTAAACAACATATCCATCATCTTGTCAGTGAGGCCACCTCACATTAACAGACAGACAGCAACACAAACCTGGTCTTGGGCCCCAGATGGGTGTTTGACACCAAGACAGATTGACTGACTGCCTGTTGGTTGTAATATAACTTTGACTTTGACCCTGTGAGTTAATTAAGCTTGGCAGCCTGTTAGTTTGATTCAGAATCCATTAAAGAATTGACAGCTGAAGTTGGAAGTCAGTCCAGCCCAGGAGCTAGCAGCTCATGCAAGTACCAGCTGAAGACAGTGGTCAGAGTATGAGGTTGGTGTGATGGTGTGAGATGGTTGCCACCCTGTAAGGATGTGAACCTGGAAGCAGAGTAATATCCACTGAGGACTCTAGTTTGCATGTGAGAGTGATCAGTGAAGTGTAGTCAAGGGCTATAAAAGTGTCCAATATCTCCAGTTATCAACCTGAAACCTGTCTATCATCACTCGAACTCTTGATAACTGGTGTTAGAAGTGGGATTGGATTGGCTGATCAAGTCGTTTGAATTGCTGGACTGAAGGCTGTGGCAGAGAGTTGTATTGTCAGCCTACAAAAATGAAGCAATTAATGGAGCTCCATGTCAGAAAAAATGGGCTCCAATCAAATGAAGATGAAAGCCAAGCTGCACTCAAGAAGAAATTAAGACCAGCAAAGAAGAGACAATTGCAGAACTGAAGGTCTGGCATGAAGAGATGCCTGCTAGGAATGAAGGGAAGCCAAAATTATTAATGGCCTAAAGTAGTGAAGGCTGTGGGTATGGAGGCAAGTCCAGATGAAGCAGAGGTCATAGCAAAATGTCAGCAAGTCACTAATGAAGAGGCTGCAGTGGAAAATATTGCAGCATTGAAGACCGATCCAAGGATCGACATTTGACCTTAAGGTGGTGTGGAAAAGGAACCAGGGCAATGGTGGGTACCAGCAGAAGTTGGCCACCACCCACAGATGGTTGACCTGTTGTGCAGTTCCTGCACTCTGCAAGGGACCTGGAAAAGACACCCGGCTACGGCCTCAGAGGATGAAGCAGGAGACAGAAGCTACATCTGGGAAGCAAGGAGACATTCTATGAAGCTGTTCTACAGACTTTCAGACTGGAGGTCATGAAGTGAACAGTCAGGTTTTCTATCAAGCTGAGCTGCAGAAAATAAATGACTAAACATTGTGGAAGAGTTGGCCCCCACCCAAAGGAAAAAGAGATGAGTGGCTTGCGTGCTAGCATTGCAGGAGCACTAGCCACTCTCGAAGTTTTGCCCACACTGACTAGAAAAAAAAAAATGGCAGTACATCTATAGGCTACTCGGAACAAGAAGCTTTATGGAGGGAGCCATGTGACATAAGGCTTCACATACAGAATAAGGTACCAGAGAAATAGCCATCCCTAGGCAACAGCTTCATAAACACGCTACAGTACTAGAGCCATAGCTAAGCAACATTCGCATGCAACAGTGAAGGAACTGTTAGAATCAGTGTTTACTGTGTGATCTGTGCCAAGGCTAAATAAGGACGTTGACTGTGTTATGAGTTAGTTCAGCTCAGAAGTCAGTCAGTTTGGATCAGTAATCAGCTGAGATTTGACAGCTGAAGCTGGAATTCAGTCCCACTTGGGAGCTAGGAGCTGAAGGAAGTATTGGCAGTCACAGTATGACATTGGCATGAAATGGTCACCACCATGCAAGGGTGTGAGCCCTGAAGCAGAGAAATGTCCACTGTTGGAAGCCATTACCAAGCAACATGAATGAGGGCACTAGTCTGTGCATGGCAGTGATCTGTGAAGTTTAGGCATGAGCTGTAAAAGTGTCCAATAAATCCAGTTGTCAATCAAAAACCATCTATAGACACCTAACATGTGACAATATTAAAATGAATATTAAAGAACTGTATGTCAGGTTATTAGATTCACATTTCAAGATAGGTCTACTAGGGATCTTGTGAACATAATAATATTTTGGGTTTCATAAAATATGGGTATTTTTTTAAATGAGTGCCTCTGAGACATGTAATTATTTTGTTACATAACTTACCTGGGTTTCAGCAAGCTGGTTTACTGTACCATATGTAGTGTTGGTTGGAAAGTTACGCTCACTGCTCTGTTCAACAGTCTCACTGTCACTTGCCAGTACATCTGTACTCCAGGTATCACTCACCATTGAAATGGTCTCATCTCCTGTTGTACAAACAAGTGAAACCAACCCATGATGATGTCAGTCCAGTACTGTTGCAACTTAATTTCTTGTCTTCTTGCATACAATGTTTATGAAGGAAACATTATAGGCTTAGTTCAACCAAGTTCTTTAACACATAATTTTCATTTTGTCATAGAGTTCAATAAGAATCTATTATCTAAAGCAACATACACCTCACACCTAGGCTCAACTTATTTGAAAATCACATGTATGTTTTAAATTTAAAATTTTTACCTTTCAAATCAGGGCACATATCAAATGATTAACTTCTACAGTAATTTAATTTTTTCCTAAAATATATACACTTTTAACAAAAATTTGACTTAAAATTTAATATGTTTCAAGCATGCAAATAAAGTTTTTACGTTTACTTCAGGTATTAATGAAATGTTTAAAGCCAGGATTACAGTCAAAGCACTTGAAAGACCAATACCATTATGCTAGTTGTGTTCAGTGTACTTTATCAAGATATGAAAACAATGTTTGGTGTTAACCCAAAGACATATGTAAACAAGGCAAACTGCTAGAGTTCAATATTAAAGAAGTTTACAGAACATACATGAATAAACATTAAACAATAACGAAAAGTAATGGCAAAGGTCTGAAGAAAAATCAATGGGGAGTCCCTTATCTTCACACCTTTATCATCTTCTCTCCTTTCTTCTGTATCTGATTCAAATCCCTATAATTGTTATTGGATGTGAAGATACATACACGTCACGACCATCTGACAATGCCATATGTCAGACACTGAGAACAACTACAATCTCTGAATGCATAATATACACACAGCATAAATCACAAACAGTACCTTATTATATACAAACAAATACCTTCCAGCAGTTTCTTTATCTCAAATTTTCCAAATTTGTCATCAATATCAGAACGACTTTGTTTATTAGGAGGTGGAGGAGGGAAGTCCAAAGGCTGGCGAGGCTCTCCAGATGGACCTCTAAGAACTCCACCAGGACCTTCTTCACCTTCAGTTATCTGAGAAGAGGGGGTGTCTCGGCCTATTAAAATAAAATATCTATGACTTATCAAGATTCCAAGTTTTCCTACCTGCATTATACAAACTTTAACGAGCTATTAACAGAATCTCTTAGCACAATTTACAAACATTATCTCTTCATGTAAAGTAACAGTAAAACCTGCTTATAATGGAACCTGAAAGTACTTGAACATTTTTCTGTTTTAACACATGCATTAATTTCTGTAGGAAAAAAAAAGTATACACACTATACAAGTCCTGGTGTACTTATGATCCAAACTGCAAGATAATTAATTCATGCCACATAATTGTACTACACTGTGCTAGATCAGCAAACATTTCCTTACAGCTCCTTTCCTTTTATTACTACTGCACTATTTTCTGACAGATGTAGTTTCTGTTACTGTTGTACTTTATTTCGATTTCTACATGTAACATTTATGTGTATAACAACTAATCTTTGTTTTGTTTACACTTCATATTCGTGGGATCAGAGAAACTTCCCACTACAAGCAGGTTTCTGTTTAATCCAGGATTTAAGTAATTTTATATAATATGGTGTGTGTTAAAGAGTGCAGTGTAATGGACTTACACAGCAAGTTTCATTGTTCTACTGTACAACTTTCCATTTGCCAGAACACATGCAAGTAACCAGTGCAGCTGAGACTCCTGCATACCCAACAATAAAGCAATCAATTACAAGATGGGCTGATACTTGTCTCTACTTGAAGCCACAGAATTTTACATTTCTCTGTTCCTCCAGTTCTGGGGCTCACCAATAAGAGTACCAATAAACTCCTTCATCAGGGTGCAAACAGGATGGAGCATGAAGGTGTAGCTGTCCCCTTTCCTATCTTTGTGCCTATATGCTGGCTCTGGTAGACCACCTAACTCTTCTCAGGCTCGTGCGACAGCAATAAATAAGGAAACTGAAAACTGCAACCTTGAGGCCAGTCCACTGTTCCAAATCAACACAATTTCCATTGTTAATAAACTGTTCATTTATCTGAAAGTGAAAGTTTGTAACCTTCTTCATGCAAGCAACGAGTAATATGGCCCTATAATATTATAGAAATTTATTGCAAAAATGAAGGCCTGACTACTTGAGACAAACATGAGAAGTGCAGCCAACTCAAGTCTGACTCTCATTAATTTAAGATTCTAAGTCCCAAAGACAGGTACCTTATGGGAGTGTCGCTTTATCCTCAAGAAGGATCTGAATTGATGACATCTCCTCCCAGAGAAGAATGTATTTCTAATTGGCTGATTTTAACTAACCAAAGTCATCATGCAATCAGCATAAGCCAATCATGTAATGACTCTTGAGAACAAAGCAGTTCCCAGAGATATAACTCAGACCCCCACATGTGGAATCAGTTACATTCTGCAGTTTAGGGTTCAGCTACACCATTTTGAAGACAAGCTATGTTAGTTATGCACATCATGTCTTCAGAAAACTACAGACTTGCCTCCTGTGGTGATACTCTCCCCCTTCAGTCAAAATAAATGTAAGAAAAGGCAGCTGTATTCTGTCCAGATACAAGGAAAAGTTATAACTCACCAATAAATCAGTCACCCCCTATGAAATGCCTATAGAGGACAACAGTAACAGGCTCAGACTATCACAAACCTAACCACTCATCTCCATCTAGTGTTAAGGTCTAGAATACAAATCTTCACATGCCCTGTTCACCTACTTGCCACAAACTTATATACATGGGGAATTTTAGCTCTACCCAACTTACAATACACTTTCCCAGGAAATCTGTAGAATTTTCAACTAAATGAAGAATGTAATTAATTACCTGAAATATTTGGTGTTCCTCGACCTGACACATTGGCTGAAACCATGTCAGAAAGATTGTCATTCTGATCATTCTCGAGTTCTAGAGATGATGCAACACTGTGATTTGATGCCGCTTCTGAGACAGCCTCAAGGTTATCACTAGTGTTGCCTGTAAAATATAATTAATATTTTTTTTTTTAATTTCATACATCCTGTTGTGTTATTATATACAATTGTTTATTAAGTCCATCACAAAACAACAATACAGTGTTCAAGGCTAAATTTGCTTTGCTACATATTTCAGCTATTCATAGACATCATCAGGCAAATACACGATCATCATGTTCACACATTAGTGAACTGCAATTGCATAGTGAGTCTGGATATTTGACAATTATCATATTATAAAACACATGGTATAAAAATTACAATGAAATATAAACTTATTATAAAGCAAGTTTTTACCATAAAATAAGGTTAAATCAATTCAAGTGATAATCTATATCACGAAGTCGGTCACTGCAAAATTGTATTTTCCTGTGGACGATGGTATATTCTAGACTTTGTATGATAAACTGTTTAGAGGTCCGTGAAGTATAGTTTTAACATTAACTGTTTGGTTGGCGCCTCATTGTATGATGTATTTATGTCTGTTTTGTAGGGAATACAGTTGCAATCTGTATTCCCTGCTTCTATTCAGCAAAATCAGTAACCTCTTACAATGTAGTCATACTTACTTACCGATTGAACCTTCATCGTGTGACAAAGAAAATCGAGTTCGCTTCTCGTGACTTTCTCCTCTTTCAACCACACTGCCATCGTGCTCTTCTTGGCTGTCAGGTAAGTTTACATGCACTCTTGCATCTGCACGTGATGAATGCTCTTCCATGCATAGTATCTGTGAAATATGTTCACCTCTGATAAAATATTAATAATCTCAACATGGCGATTAAAAATACACTTCCTCATTAATTCAAAATATATAATGAATGCAAAAAAAGATTCAACTGTTCCAATTCTGCCATAGTTTAAGGAGGAGCAAACAAAATTTATAATGGATATTTCAATCAATGATGGACAGTTTATTTTTATGATCAAAATGAATTTCTAGGTAACTGCAGGGACCAAGAGCCTTTGTGAGAGAGTAATACTCTAGTGGTAAAGAATTACCCACCTCACACAGCAAAGGAAGATTACTACTCTATCCACTGAGTCCTCAGCCAGGTGAATCCAGTTCATACATTCACATCCTATTTCTTAAGATCAATTTTAATATTATCCTTCCATCTATGTCTAGCATGATCACACCAAGGAGCTGAAGAAGACTGGCCATTCAGAAACACAGAAGGCAGAAAGGAGATAAGAACCTAATCTGGGCCAATGGGAACTGGGCTCTCTTACTCACACCCTGAAGGAATGGATAAAGGTCTCTGAAAGAAGACACATACTTCCTCTTGACTTGACCTTCTTATGCTGTCACCCTGAAAAATGCCTCTGACCAAGCAGAAACTCTTAAATTAAGCCATTCCCTCTGACACTGGCCCAGACTAGGGCCTTATTTACAATCCACTTACTGTGGATCTGATTAGCTGATTTTCTTGCACTCCTTTGTTTGATGCATGTTGACCTTATTATAATTCACATATATCTTAGCCATACTCAGCAGATGTACTAAAACCCCGAAGATGGAAACAGCAGCCCCTTCCAAAATGCTGGGATTCAACTGAACAACTGCAAGGCTTCATAAGACAAGAGTCTCGCCTCTAACCACTGTGTAGACCTCAAATTCATATGTGATACATGATTTCATTCTCTAATTACAAGAAATTTACTTGAAACTAAATTATACATTGGTAGATCTGATGACACTTAGAAGGTCAGAGATAACAAAGAGTGGTCATGCTTACTTTCTGTTCAGCAATAAGGCCCACACTCTCACCCACATTAGGAGTGAAAGGTATAACTAACACATCTTGACTCCCATGTTCCCCATTATCATCATCCCCTCCCACATTTTCCTCTGTTCCCTCCACAGTTGAGGAGGCAGGAGATGATGAAGAACGTGCTATCCGGCCTTTTCCAACTGGAAACACATTAAAAATAATATCATAACCTAGCTTCCTGGTATTCCACTTCAACTTCATATACATCATTTTGAGCGAGTCTAGAGATATGGTTCTGCTAGTGCAGCAAAACCATGTGACTGCAGCATCAGGTGCAACATGCTGAGATTGTTCACTTACTGCTGCAGCAAATGGCTGCTTCACAGTAATTATATGGATTCTGAGCATGGATGTTGTCAAAGTGACGGCGGTTTACATTTGAAGGGAACAATAATCGGAGGATGGGCTTACAAGGATTCATAACATTCTTCACAAATAGCATTGGGGCATCAACAAAATTTAATAACAACACATTTTCTCAATTCACACTGCATTTCATTTCTAGCCATACAGATCATGAATACTGTTGCTATTTTATTTCTTGACGAACTTTCTACTTATGTACTGATTCCATCAACGTTAATTTTTTTTTTGGATATAACCTCTAAGTTTCATACAACCATTATGTCTGTAATGTCTGGCTTACAAAAAATATTTCACTTTCAGTGGAGTAGCTTTCATACCAAGTTTCATGGAAAATGGTCAAGCTGAAAGGGGGACACATAAAGAGTTTGCTTACTACATGAATATATCATCTAAATCTATTCTGTTCTTCAAATAATTTAACTTTACAACATGTATGACATGATACGTACTCTACCAGCTGCATTTCTTCATCATGAGTAAAACATTAACCATCCATAACTGGACAAACATTAAACATTGTTACCACAAGAACATGGCCTGCTGCTGCATCATATGCAGACTGACTGGTCCCAAGAGCAGCTGGTGTAGTGGATGTATGTGATGCCATGCAGTTGACGAAGTACCAGACCCAGGGAAACAAAAATACTATTGTAGCAATAATGTGTGTCCAAAACTTCAGAAACTGCATATTTTTGTTACATTACTGACATTATACACTTATCAAAAAACAAACGCCATGGTTTTAGTTCACAAGCGAACTATACTGACTGAGCGACCGCTGCTTGTTGGCGAAGTTAGTGACAACTTTAGTGGATAGAGGGTGTCACATGACCAGCATAACAAATCCCCACGGCCATTAATTTCGGTTTTCTAGACTGGAGCTGCTATTTCTTTAAAATAGCTCCTCAATTATCCTCATGAGGCTGAGTGCACCCTGTTCCAGACCCACTACTTCTCAGAAAATCTGGTAGCCCCGGGAATCGAGCTCAGACCTCTGTATCTGTAACCAGGAACTCTGACCACTAGACCACAGAGGCGGTCTACATTTATACAGCAACACTTTATTACAACAAATTGTCATGGGCTGCCAAAAATTTTTTCTATACTGAACTTATTCACAAAGAGACAGGTTTAAAAAAGTGCAGAGAAAGCACATTTCACACATCTGAGAATTGAGTGTGATAAAAGGAAAAGTCTTGGCGAAACTAATGCAATGAATCTCCAACTGAAAAATGGTTCATTCATGTCTCCATGTCTGTTCCACGAAGAAAACAGAACAGTGTTTTCGTTTTTTAATCAAAAGTCACCCACAGTGAATGTAGTAGTTCCTTTTAAACTGACGAGGAAATACAAGCACAAATGGTATATTCATGTTGGGGTGCTCTATGAGGCACTTAAAAGTTCTGGGGGATTTAGAGATAAGGGCTGTTCAAATGTGGCATGCACCTGAAGAAGACTTCAGTAATTTACTGTACCTACTGAATATTTGGTAAACTCCCCAAGTAGCACACAGGAAACAATCAGATTCAGTTATATTTTTCCCCAAGATTACTTTCTGGGAAAGATCATGGCACTCATCACTATATTTAAGGTCAGTAATGAATATATTCCTGCTTATGTGGAATATTAAGTCCTGCATTTCATTCAAAGCATAGGATTAATAAGGTGTTAATTAAAGGGGAAGCACAATAGATCATTATTGGTTGCGGTGCAGGGGCTGGATTGTGGCCCAGCCCACATACATATACACATATATGGAATATTGGAATGTGATTACCAACTATTAGTTGCCAATAATCTCTGACAGTCTTTCTTGTAACAGGATTCTACTATGCTGTCACATGACACCTAAAATGTGAAGTAATGGAGCAAAGTCTGTTGCTAGGGTATGGCTCCACAGACACAGTCTCCATGACAGTGATGACATCATGCAACAAGGGAGTTGTGGGAAGCTGCGTTGAAATGCAGTCTGATGCCAGGCGGACAGCGCCACTACAATCAAACATGTGATATGTCACCCACACCAAGAGAGAAGCAGTGTTTTCTGCTGGGTCTGTGCAAAGGCTATATCTGGAGAATCGAAACATAAGCCAGACCAGCCTGAGTCAAGAGTCTAAAGGGAGTCTGCAGGCAGACAGACCAGTTTGAGTAGTTTTAGCTTGGAGGCAGGCAGTCCAAGACAGTATGAGTCAAGAGGCTACAGAGAGTTTGCACGCAGACAGACCAGTCTAAGTACAGTTCGAGCTCAAAGGCAGGTAGTCTTGAGGCAGCCCAAGCCCGAGACTGTAGCCCATAGTGCAGGAGTGGGAGCCCCTATTCTTGTAAGTCATAGTATAGCAACGCTGTGTCGAGCTGCAAGATAGGTGCCAGCCAGTGAGAACCTGAGCCATGGAACATAGAAGCTGAGGGAACTATGGTGTGGGAAGCCATTATCAGACAACTGGTGAAGACACAGCAAACTGAGAAGACTTAGTGCATACTGTAGTGATTTCCAGAGTGTGTGACTTGGCGATGGCACTGTAGTTACTTGCAGCTGTGATCTGTAAGTGTTCAACTAATTTGATTATCAATCAAAACTGCATCTATAGTCACTCAATTGCGTGACAATATAAATATCACAACATTCACATACCAGCCCAGTCCTAGTTGGTGCACAGCTTACCTTTACCCAACAATCCTGCACTCTTTCTTGGCGTGCAAGGAGTTGCTGACTGTTGTGGCTTCAGTGCACCACCAGTTACATGACCATTAACTGTGGTATTTCCAAGAGGAAGTTGCATTAATAAACTGGTCAGCTGCTTCTTGTTCTCTCCCAGACTCTCACCTCCATCAGCAGATACAGTTTGCAAGAAAAGCACCTGTTGCAAAGAACATTTATTGTTTCATATATGGCAAATAAATTAAATTAAAGTCTTCTGGAAAACGTGTAATTAAGCAGTGTATATCTCACACAATATTAACATTGACCCTTTGACCAATGGTGGGGGTCATTTCTTAAAGCAGTGTTTCTCGGCCTGTGGGATGTGGTAAAAAAAGGTATACCTATCCCTGTAACAGGCTGTGGAAGCCATAGGGCTATAAGATGTAGAGGCTACCACATTTTCTAGACAATCAGCTCATAGATGGCAGAGGGGCTCTCAGCCTTACATGCTGGCCACTCTTCACTCCAAGGGAGATTCCTGATACTCATTTTTCTGTGTGACACGAGATCTTGAAAGTAATTAAATCAGTTACACAAAACTTTTCTGCATTCCAGAAGCTTCCGCTCTCGGTTGTGGAACGTTTTCCTGTATTATAGCTTGAAAACAATTGAGTAAGACAACTCATGGTTACTGCCTAACAACTATGTTGTTCTGTTACATTCTGTCTTGCACTGTATGTTTATCTGGAAGCTAATGTGAATAAGAAAAACAAACGACATTCCAAATCATGACTGATATCATTAGAGGGTAAGTAGTTAGTTATTTCGAGAGGGTGGGTTTCCCCATGCACCGCGACCAGTTTGATCTATTGTCCTTCCCTCTATGATATTGTACCAGTCTCTTTACCCTACCGATAAATGGTGCGTACCATCAGTCCCGCCGAGCAAGCGAGTTCGGCCACTTGCTTAGCGGTGTCTATAATGCTTCCCCCATCTATCAGAGGCCTTAGAGGCTATTGTTGGGAGGGAAACGTCCTGGAATTTGGCTCAGTGATCCCCTTTGGGGATATGAGGTTCTTTTATGTGCCATAAAGTTACGACACGGGACACACAGCTTAAAGTCCCTCCCGGACGACTTGTTCCCTGAATTTTTCTGCCCTTAAAAATTCGACGACCTCCGCCGGGTATTTGAACCCGCGTACCACGAGTCATGAGGTGGGAACGTTACCTCTAGACTACGGAGGCCGCTAGAGGGTAAGTAAAAAGTAAAGTAAAGCTAACAGGCCGTGGAGGCCCATAGGGTTGTGAGACGAGGGTCCCACATTATCTAGACAATCGGCTCAAAGATGGCGGTAAGATTGTCAGCCTTATGTGCAGGCTGCGCTTTACTCCCCAGGAAATTATTTAATTCTTGGTACTCATTTCTGTTAGAGGCTGAGTTGACCCCAGGGCCATAGTGCAGCTGGAAGGATTATGTCAACTGAAAAAAATCCAATGACCTCATTGGGACTTGAACCTGCGACCTTCCGGCTTGTAGCATAGTGCCTCAACCAACTACAAATGTAATAATAAGTTAATTAACATATATGTGATATACTGTAATGTAATTGGATATCTGTACCTATCTTTTCGGTATCTGGCATACACAATATCCACAAAATCATAGATCATTTCATGCAAACTTCACAAAAATTAAGAATCTTAACAACCTTTATATAAGCGGTAATATCTTCCATGTACCACACACAATAGCTCAGCCAGTAAGAGAATGGTTATAGGCCAATGAACAAGTGGGATTCAATCCACAGCAGGAGAAAGGACTTTTCTCTTCAGAACTGTATCCAGAATGGTTCTAGGGTTTGCCCACCCTCCTGCCCAATGGACACTGGGATAACGTAACCAGAGTATAAAAGTAACTACTTACTTCAAGCCAATGCCTAGATTAAGAATAGGTGGAGCTTTATCTCCACTCCTCCTTACATCACTATTGCGTGGTGCTTAAGCAGAGGCACACCTTTTCACCTTTTTATATCTTACCAAATTATGTAGTTCAGCCTCAGTAAATAATGCTGCAGATCGTGATAATCCATCCAGTTTTGAACTGATTGTAATCACAGGCCCATCTTCCAGCCCATCTGTTGCTCCATCCAGAATTGCATCAAGCAGAGAAGATACACAGTCCTAAATATAACAGAAGTCTTGTCAGTGGTAACAAATTAAAGCCGAAGTATCAAAATTTCAATGAATATTTCTTTTTAATTCCTTAAAATACTCTTGGTTTTTAAACCATTATAAAAGAGAAAATCTGTGATTATATTATTCCAAATAATTTGTCTAAGTCCAAAGCCCTGAGTAATATTTCATAACATGCTTATTTTCTATAGGGAGGGGCTTTGGATTTCTGAACAACCCCCAAGATAGAGGGCAACCCTTGTTTGTTTTCCAGAACTGCTTAGTCAACATATTTGCAGCTGTCTTCCATACCNCTAAGGTATCCGATTTTTTTTTCTCAGGACTGGGAGCAGATAGACACATGCAGTTTAGTTTAAAATACGTGTACACTCTTTGTGAATGCGTGACAGAGAAGACAACACTGTACGGCACACAGACTCTAGTGGTGGTGGAGAGAGAGAGGAGTGCTTTTGGTACCTAAAATGGCGACGTTTTCGTTGGAAGAACAGCAAGTAATCATTCGTTTTCTCCACTTGCGTTGTGCGACAGCCATTGAAATTCATCGCCAGTTGAGTGAAACATGTGATGATGGTGTCATGAATGTGAAAAATGTGCTTTTGTGAGTGTGACAGTTCAAAGAAGGCCGAACGTCATGTGACAACGAACTAAAAAAATCTGGGCCTCGCACCAGCCGGTCTAACAACATAGTTGAGTGAGTTGAGAAAGTTGTTTTGGAGGACCGCCGATTGAGTGTGGAAAACATCGCTTCCAAAGTTGGAATTTACGTGGGATCTGTGCACACAATCCTGCATGAAGACCTGCGAATGTGGAAAGTGTCTTCCAGGTGGGTGCCACGAATTCTGGCGGATGACCACAAGGCTGCACACATGACAATTTGCCAGGCGATGTTGACACGTGATGAAGGCATGAATGGGACTTCCTTTTCATCAACTGTGACAATAGATGAGACATGGATGCCGTTTTTCAATCCGCTATTGCATCAGCAATTTTCCAGTGGTCAAAACAGACTCCTACAGAAGTGTTCGCAGCGGCCATGGAATCATGGCATTGACATCGTGAAAAATGTGTACGGCTGCAGGGAGATTACATTGAAAAGTGACCGAAGTTTCAAATTTTTTGTATGATTATTGTCTGAGAAAAAAAATCGGAGAACTTAGAACTTGAACGCACAACATATTAAAACACTTGCACATGTATAATTACAAACCTAAACACAAAAATTCTGTATACTAACCTTCTCAAATAAGTTGTAAAGATCTGACACCTTACTGTCCACATCTTCATACTTAGTCATAGCCAACATCTGCACAATCTTGGCCACTTGGATAAGATTAAAACGACACACATAGCTGATTGGAGCATCTGTTATACCATATGGTTCTGGGTTAACAATTGCAGGACAGATGAAATATGTGAAAACCAAATCTGTGCAAATAGCATTTACCTGCAAAAGAACACAGATACCTGTCAATGTTATATGACGAACAGCATAGCACATATTACCTATACACATACTTTTTTTTAAACTTGTTGAAGAAGGAATTTCTTATGAACAATATGTAAAAGTTCAGTTCCTACCTCACAGGAAACATAATACCTCTCCATTATAGAGACTATACAGTTAATGCAGTTTAGCGAAACAATCATAGTTTATTCTGACAACCATTCATTCATTCATGAGTAATCTGTCAGACGACAGGTCCATACATAAATAAATACACATAAATACATTCTGTGGGCAAACTGCACATCCTATTTATTGCTATATAAGATGGCTTATATAGAAACCACTGCAATTTAAAAGTACTAATGACACCAATTATCTCAATTTAATATTCCTTGCTCTCCTCATCAAGCAAGTGTGAGGGATAAACCTCTACAAAAAGATTTCAGTTTACTCTTGATGATACAGTGAAGACCAAGGCTAGCAAAGATGTAAAGATTAATGTGGAATCCATAACACAAGTATTCCATACATTCATGAAGTTCTGACAAATTTGGTAGGTTAGAAAAATCCAAACCAAGTACGGCCAGTCTTGAAAGTAAATGCTTTGGTTATGGAGGCCAGTACAAATTCCACAAATAACACATTTACAGAACAATACAGAAGAAACTGCAAAGAACATGTTGACAGGATTATCTCTTAACAGGACTTAGAGAACTCTTAAAAATATCAAACAAAAGAGAAAGACCTAAGAATTAATGGAGAATTGTTTTATAATGTTTGTAACATTAGAAACACACCTAATACATTAGGTACCCCCTTCTGCACAGACCCTCTATCCCAGTGGCAGGTTTGTAAGGCTGAAGGAGACAGCACTGAAACCTTTATCAACCAGAAGGGAAAACTTTCTCCCATGATATACAGCTGTAGCTGAATGAATGGAAATACACTGTTGTTACATCACATTAAAACAATTTCAAATCCACAAGAACAGAGCTCTTTCTCACTATCTGCGTCTAAAACGTTTCTCTGGGCATCAGATAATGTATGAATAATTTGTGACTGAACTGTCCACTTCTAAGAGGTGAATTTGCTTAATAACATTCTCATGAGGGCTGCAAAAGTTAGAAATGCTTACAACTTTCTTCAAGTAGCCATTCTCACTCTGTCCCATAAAACATCAAGAATGATGCTGAATTCAATGCAATACATGCTGGTCTCTTACCTCCTTAGGTTCAATATTCCCTGACTTAGATAGCAATCCAGCTATCTGGCGCACAAGCCAACAAACACCAGCAGGAAAGCAATGCATGTTATTTCGTAGACTGAGCACAAATCGGTTTGTAATAACTACAAGACAGTTATTGGTCCATCTGCGATACTCCTGCAGTCGAATGTTGTATTCAGGAGTGCCTTCAGAACCAAACTTCTTTAGGCATTCCTCTGGAGGAAACCTGAAGAATATATTATAGACATGCTAATCAAATACCATTGAAAAAGTCATGTGCTGTATCCATTATGTGTATTGTGAGCACTTTCCTTACTGCAAGTTTTCAACTTCAAACTAGTGTGCATATGTTACAGTTCATTCAGACAAAGAGGTATGAGAACAAGAAACAGTGGAGTAGAAAAGGTGGCACACAACAGCAACTGTTGCCATATTTAGACACTGCAGTCACAGTGTTTTGTGGTGACATGTGGAATGTCCAATTTCTAGTCACCTGTGCAGGTGCATTTTGCATGTCTATTATTACTCAACCTAGGCCACTTTCTTGTTTTCCCACACCATCTGTGCATGGAATAATGAGGTCAGAAGTGACAAAAATGGTCACAACATAAAAGCTATAAAAGAATATAAAGTTCCTACACATAGTATGCCATTTAATTTGTTGACAACTGAAATAACAAATAGTAATTTGCATATAAATAGAAGCTAGAAATTTTTGTTTCAACAGTATGATTCATCTTAATCATACACATAACTGAACTAATTCAGCATCACTTTCCAACAAGTACAAAAAATACATATGACACAGGAACATGTATACAATTATTGGAGAGAAAGGAGAGGAGGAGCAAAGAAAAAGGAAAAAAATGAATCAATTTCATTCATTTCAGACTCAGGATTACTGAGTTCTGAACTCTGTCAGTCATCTGACAGAAACTGGATGTGTTTCTGTTCTCAGGTGAAAAGACTGGGAGGCATTTACTCACCTGGGTCTACCAGAGACAGCTGATCTCAGTCACCAGATTAGCTGTCTGACAGACAGACCCTTTCATTTGAGGATGACACAGATTCAGTTTCAAAAACACTGTGTTCTTTTAGAATTAGATGATTTATGAAATTCAGAACCCCAGTATTGCCAAATGTAACACATCAACAGAACCCTTTAGAGGTCACTCATAATACTTTCAGTCTCAATCTGATTGAAAATACCTATTCATACTGCTATGCAGATGAGTATGTGACGAAGATTACAATTTAACCCACTCTTCAGCCTTGACATCACTCAGAAAAAGAATTATAGCTGCATTTTTTCTTAAAAGAACTCTGGTATTCTATAGAATACCTATAAATTGTACAGAATTCCCTAGGTATTGTACACAATGTCTCATTTTCAAGCTTTGTTCATGAAACATGCAAGACAAAATCCCCAAAACATTCATTCACCTGACTGTCGCCTTATCTGGATCTATGTCCAAGAACATTTCATCCTCAACAAGCAACTGCATGATAGGTTTATGCAGTGCAGCTGTCAGGAACAACTTTGCAGAAAACAGACCTTCATGAAATTCACCATACAAGCGAGCAAAAGCACATGACTTCTGGCGAAGAAGCCTGCTGACAAAATGAAAATGTTACAAATATTTTATCACTTACAAGCAACAGACTTCATGGCAGTAACCTAATTCTACACAGTGTAAAAACATATGTACAAAACATATTATAATTATGATCTGTCCAGAATCATCAGTTCAAATTACTGTAACAAAAGCATACAATTTAAATATATAGTAGCATAACATTACATACGACTACAGCCCTAGCCAATGGTGGCTCCATTTCAAATGCTGGCCTGTCAGGAGCCTCGTCCTGTGCATGTACCATATCTGACTTGTTCCAACATCCATTATTCTCTTCACTGTAGCTTTGCTGTAGGCTTCACAAAGGTTTACACATATAATGTCAGGGTCTAGAGGTTACAGAAATATCACAGAAGAAAGAGTCTAATGGGGCAACAAGAAACAGTAACTTCATTACAACTTTCAATGACTATACTGTAGCATATAGACACATCGCTACACAGCAACTCTGTAAACAGCAGCATTGTTGGGTAATTCCTGCAACATACACATACTGAACAAAAGAACAATGGGGCTATACAACCTGTTTCTAAGTAATGCATCAGTAAACAGGCCTACAATAATAGGGGTATTGTTGGAAATGGTGTTTTCTATTTGGTTCATGCAAAGTAGTTATAAAGAAGAGTTCAGCTGAGAATCATCAGTCAATCCTGGAGTTCCAAGTGAGCAGTTAGTCCAGAGGTGGGCTCTGCAAGGGAGGCTGAGAATATGGTGCTATGAGTTCAGGTGTGGAGTGTTAACCAGTGGGCATCAAGGTTGAGAATATGGCACTATGAGTTCAGGTGTGGAGGGTTAAGCAGTGGGCATCGGCATGACCACAGAAGCTGAAGAATCTCCTGTTAAGATTCAGTATCAGGAAATGTCTAACGAAAAACAATGCAAACGAATAGCCATTGTTGAGAGCTGTTACCAAGTAATGACTCATGAAAGCAGACTGAGAAGACTTGGCATCCAGTGATTTGTAGTGTGGAAAGCAGCAGTAGTGTTATAGTTATCTGTAGTTACAACATGTAACTGGTCAATACATCTGTTCACAAAGCCGTACCCTCTTTAACATTCACACACACACCCTTAAAACTTTACAATACATACTTGAAGCAGAGTGACAGCTATTAAACCTTATGGAAATTACGAATATGTATGGAAAAACATGTGATTTGAATGTAAAACGAGTCCTAAGATCAACAAAATCATAAGAGAAATCTGGAACAAGAAATGTATCATCTTCCTCTAACAACAATCATCATCACCACCACCACCACCACCACAACCATCATTACTTTTACTGCTGGTGCTGTTACCTTCCTGCAACAGGCTGTTAACAAATGTCATGATCTTGTTGAACATGCCGGAAATAGCAATGCTGAAGGGCTTAATAGTTCAAGCTTATATGCACAGTAATACTAAAAATCTCAGAACATATAAGAGCCTGATGGTACTTATCTGTAGAGGGTCTGATCAGAAAAAGGACAGAAAGAATTTCTGAAACTCCATTTCTACACATAAAGAAGCAAGTAAATTTTCATTTGGTTAGTGTGGTTCTACTCTGGCTATGTTTCTTCTGATTTTATTTGGAATTGAAAGAGAGGATATTAATTTAAAATTATATGCTGATTATAGAACATAAATTTGTTAATCAACATGCAGACATATATAACAATTTAAATACATAATATTAAAGTAACTTCATCTGGTTGATTGATAATTTGGACGACGGACAGGATCAGCAAAACCTGGGCACTTGCCAAAGTAAGATGAACAGTGCAGGCTTGAACCTGGCCAAAATCATACTTAACCAATCAAAAATCAGATGGGCACTGAATACCTTTAGACTATTTAGCGGGAACAGATGGAATTGTACTGGCACTTTTGCAGCATGGGGCACAACTCTTAGTTCCACACTTATGCTGCATATATAGAGCCTGCATGGCATGTGGTTTTATCCCCACGGCCCGGAGGCAAGTTAAGGTGATGTTTATCCCAAAGCCCGGAAACTAGATTACACCGAGGCTAAGGCTTATCGTCCTATCAGCCTGTCATCTTTCCTTTTCAAAACGATGGAAAAAATAGTGGATAGGCATATCAGGGACGGGGTGTTGAGGACATATCCTCTACACCGAAACCAGCATGCCTACCAAACAAGTAAATCTGCCGAAAGCGCACTACATAATGTGGTAACACGCATAGAAAGTGTGATTTAAGACAAGGATATTGCCTTAGGAGCATTCCTTGACATAGAGGAAGCTTTTGATAGAACCTCATTTGATATAACCAAAGAGGCCGCTGGAAAGCATGGCACTGAGCCTGCAATATGCAGGTGGATCAGTGCTATGCTGGAAAGCAGAACCATAGCTACTACATTATCAGGAGAAACCCTGGGGGCGTCCATGTCTAGGGGTTGTCTGCAATAGACCACTGTAGGTCACGGTGCAAGGGCTGAGAAGGCCCACCCTTGATACATTCATTCAACTTCATCTGGTAGAGGTGTGAAATATCATCTTCCAACCTAGGGGAAAGATAATGCTCAGGAACAGAAGACTATGGAGGATACTGGACATGGGAGGCAGGAAGTAAGAGGAGAATGGAGAAAAATGCTTTATCATCAAATATCATTATAGTGAATGGATGAAGGAGGGTGAACTGAACAGGACATGTAGCTCACATGGAAGAGGTGAGACATATATAAAAGTATTTTGAGTGAGAGAGGGAGGAAGAGAGAGACACACACTTGGGCGCAGATGGGATCATTAGGATATGGCTTACATTCATGTGGCTCAGGAGAGGATCCAATAGCAGACTTTTCGGAACATCAGGGGAAATCTTCAGGTTTTATAAAAGGAGGGGAGTTTCTTGACAATGTGTGAGCGACCACCAGCTGTCAGGGAGCAGTCATGTTACACACACATACAGACAGCCTAATTTTAATTCTTAAATAGAATTCACAACTTTCTTATTCTGATTGTGCATACAGTGTTTCACACATAAGATGTTTTTCAACAAAATAGCCTAAAATAACATAACAATTTCGCTACATTTTTAACTGCCTATACATTTTCTCACTTTTGCTCTTTTCCTTTTAGATGAAAAGACATTTAACAATTTGAATGATTCAACTTTTCAAAATACTAGTAATATTTAAAGCACTATTCAGTTCATACCTTAAAGAAAACTTGACGCATTTTAATTAAATGATCAATCGGTTTATGCAGTTAAGGAAATAATGAAGTTTTCCTATGAGAATCATATAAAACACATGAATACACTCTTGAGGGCAAACTGTTGAGATTCTTAATATTAAAGCAGGTGGTATGAACCATAACCACTGTGCTTTAAAGTGTTGATGTGGTAATTGGTAATGCTGTGTTTCAGCATCCTGCTGCAATTGTTTAACTTAACGTCCATGTATTTATCGTCCGTCAATATTGCAACACTTGTTGCACCAAAATAACGTGGGTATAACATAAACTTTAAAGGATTTTATCTGGTTTTACCTTGAAAAGAGAGCAACAGTGTGTGATTTTAACACGAACTATGACAGTGTAGCAGTTTTAACATAATTTAATAAAATATTTGTAACATAGCAAGACACCTGAAGATGGCTGTTTGGGGCTGAAACATGTAGTGTCAAAGTGTATAATGTTAAACTAAAATTAAAATTAAGTAGTGAATAAACAAGTGTTGCAATAGTGACAGACGATAAATACATGGACGTTACGGTAATTGGTACTTCACTTAAAATATAACTACTTACAGGGGAAAACTTCTTATCCAGGAAATGATGCCTCAGTATGACCCCTTAATTGAATACTGTACAGTGAGCTGATAAAAAAAAACAGTTCCTTTGTCCAGTATCAGCTTCTGAAGCATAATTTCTTCGAACTACAGCGCTTACCTGCGCGGATTTTCTGAGGGCACAAGTTGAAGCTCTGTGAGGTTGCGTAGAAGCTTTAAAGCCAGCAGCTTATCTTCTGGTAGCAAAGTGCTGCCAAATAATCCTGCCATTATAGAGTGAACTATTCCATGCATCATATCTGGGAGCAGACGATCCCCAGCAACAAGGCAACTTGCAAGAAGCTGAGGCGAAGTTCGCAGTGTTTGCAGGAATTCCCCATATGCTAGACATTCCTGTTACAAATAACTGAACATCAGACAATAATGACTCCAAACTAAGTTTATCAATCACAGTTGAAAAGTACCATTAAAAGAACTATGAAACAATTTTGGACTGAATAAAAAGGGGATGACAAAATGTACTTAACAAAACATAAAACAAATCATACAGTAAAACAAATTACCTGAAAACCCAGCACTTTGTACCCATCCACAAAGACAGTATTGTCAAGAGTGTTGGCCCTCTGACAACAGATGGCTGGGGTACAGTCAGGATGGGCTACAATCAGCCGATTTAAATTGTCTCGCTGCTGAGCTGTAACCCATGCTAACTGTGCTAGCCTTGATGATCCACTAATTACCTGCAAAATAATGAACAATTTCATTATATTTAAACATAATATACTAATAAGCTACAGTCCATTCCAGTGCTGTTAACTCTTTGACTGGCGTGAAGGGTATTTTAATGCCACCCCTGTCCTGGCAGACCCTTTAAGCTTTAAGTCGCTAAAATGAATGCGCCAGTGTTATCTAATTCATTTTTTTCTTTTCTTTTTTGTCCAGTAACAATGAAATCAGTGCTAGGCTCAAACATTCTGCTGGTATCCACAGAGATTATGTGTAACATATGCTACAATCTAGATAAGATTTATTTGTAATCAGATAACTATTTTATCATGCAATTACATACTTTCTTTCTGAAGGCTATATAATATACAATATATATTTCATAACAGGAGAATGGAGAAAACTGAATAATGGGAGGTTCATAATTTGTACTCTTCACCAAATAGTAATACACTGATGAAATTGAGGCCATAAAGTCACAACACATACCATGTCTAGAAAAACGATAAACACTTACAGTTTGGTTTGAAAACCTGAGCAAAAAACTACTTGGGAGACCTGAATGTTGAGGGAAATGCAAGACAAATGGGCTCCCAATACAGTATTTTTATAACACTGCATCATGAACCTCCAACTTTACACCTCTGTAAACACATCACTTTCTGACTGACTCTTGAATGTGGGTGTCCCAGACATGAATCTGGTAAAAACTGAATCTGCTTCAGTACAGAATCGCAAGTTCTGGCCTCATTAACTGTGAAAATATTATTTTGTATCCAGCAATTGTTTAACCTTCTTAAGAATGCTAATTAATTAAACAATACAATACATAAATGGAAGCCTTACAATCACTATCACTGAAAAAATTAAACTACCAATGGTATGATAAATAGGCTTTGTTTACACTGTCATGTCATCAATGACTTAACATTAAATACATTAAAAAAACATATAACCTTTTCATTCAGTCCTTGTAAATGTTGCTGTTCAGACGACACAAACAATCTTTCCTGACGTAAATGTCCAGCAAGCTCAATAATGTCCCAATGGAGGGCATTCATCATCAAACCATCATCCATTGCCTAAAAACGCAAATTCACACCATTCGTTACATTCCTCGTTACGCTACATTTTACATGCGTACGGTCTATCAAAATCGGTACCAAAACATCGGTATTTAGTAAGGAGGGTCATGGGAATTGAGAACGTCTTAATGACAGTACTCCAAAAGTATAATCCAAACGCAACTGCATACCCATCACCAGATATAAAAGCAATTGTACGTCCAATAATAATAGTAATCACAATGACAATTAATAAAACAGAACGGGTCAGCCAAAAATGGAATAACGTTTCTGTCAAAAAGAGAATAATCTTCTCAAGTAAGTTATCAGGTTTTACGAAGCATTCTCTCACCTTAACACAAAACTCTAATTGCACGAGTACACATTTCTTTGACAACAAATTATTAACAGTGTCTTTTGTCCTGAGGGTTATTTGCCTTTGTTTGTAATCACACGCTGAAACACCCTCCTTCAACTCCAGTCGCCATTTTAATCTTTCACAGAGGTTACAAGAAGTATCTTTCGACTGACGGACATAATCGCGATATCATCTTAGGCCACTGAACAAAATCACTGACCTCGCTCGCAGAGAGCTGGTGGCTGCCTTACCACGAATTACTATACTATTTCCTGTTGACTACAGTGATTGACAGCGTATTCCACAAGATTTTAACTCTGATATGCTCTATTCACATTTTCTGCTGCGAAGTAAGCGATGCATAGGTCTCATATTGGTAAACCATGGGTCCGATTGTTACACGGACCAACGCAATGTTGCGTGTTCCGATGCAGCATCGTTCACTAAAATAATTTAGTGTTTATCTGATACTGCCTAATCTGACATATAANGCAGTGTCCACACAACAAACATAACTGTGAACATCATAAACAACGACAGTGTTTTCATAATTGTAGTAAGTGCCTCTGATGATGGTTGTGTCGAAAGTAACATACCAGTTAATTCCGGTTTCATTCATTTAAGATTTTTATATCACTGAAAAAAGACCGATTGTGTGACAGTACTCAGTAACATAAATTACATTAATTTCCATGTTGGCCACATTGTCCCTTGAGCTCTTAAGGTTTACACCTCCAATTTTAATAATTTTTCGATTTCTAAATGCATTTCGCTCCTTAGGGCACAAAGGTTGCATATCAATAATTTATTGAGTAAAATAACAAAAAAGTCTCTTGTTCTGTGTACTATTTCAAAACATTTGTTTTTAAAGTATTATGTCCTTGTCTGTATTCAACAAAACATTGAAATAGAACCATTATGACATTCAAACCATGTTTCTTTCCTAAAAAGTATTTTCATGTTAGCAATGTTGTAACTATAAGTATTTTAGGTATTATAAAGGGCTTATAGCATAAAATACTGATACAGAATGAAGTAATTTACACATTAATTCAGAGATATGGTCCACAATGTGTAGTGCTTCTGTCAAAGTACTAGCACATGAGATCTGAAGCCTTCATGGCCATGACTATAAAGAATACTGTCTCCTGGGATATTTACCAACATTTTGGAGGAAGGTTTTGCCTCCATCTTTAGGGTCAAAGAATAATGGTAAACAATTTCTAGACTGTACAGCATCACATCCCAGAAGGCAGTATTCTCCAAAGTACTGCTGTATCCAGTTTCATCTAGTTTTCAATGCTGATTCTAGGATAAAGAGCAATAATCTTAAAAATGTGTTCCTCTGCAGTCTTCACACCAACATGAGTCAGCAATTTAAAAATAAGTTCTGTATTTCATCTACAGAGCTTCCCTTGACAACCTATGAAACTAGTCTGTAAATACCTTAGGGCATGGTTTCTTAAATTACAAGTCACTAAGTACATAAATATTTACTTTTGGAGGTCACTGGGCCATAAAGTTCAAAATCTGCTGCCCTAGGATATACAAAACTTTTGGTGGAGTCTATGTTATAAAATGTTTAATGGTAGGTTATTTTTTGCCATTGTTACTTTAAAATTCACACACACAGTAAGCTTTATGCAAAAATCACAGTCTACTATCATATAGCACAAACTCTCAGCTCTATAAATCCTTGTTCCTGCTATTTTTAGTGAATATATGTATGGAATGGAACAAGAAAATGTAATTTAGTTCAAACGGGCTTCATCTACATGATCAAAGGATCAAATCTTGTTAAGTCACGTTTTTAATGCTTATATATATAGAGTGTCACAGGAGAAATGTGCCAGACTTCGGGAGGGTGTTCCTTATGTTAAAATATGCCGATATAACCCAAAACACCTATGTCCAAAGTTGAACGGTTACGGAGATAATGGCCAGAGAAGTGTGAAACTTTGACAGGTGTTACACTTGTTGATTACCAAATACATATTAAAACT